ACATTTCCCATGAGGTAGTTTCTTAAAGGAGACAGCTCTTAATTCCTATATTAGCTATATACTGATGGGACAGCACATTAGGTACCAACTTTTCCACACAGAAAGAGCTGGAAAAACTCAATTAGAAACTTGCTAGTATTGAAAATATAAAGATAGACCAATAATCTGAGTACAAGGCCACTTCCTATCCTTCTGTGAGAAAGAATAATGAGAAAAAGCAGTGATATAAGCATGGAATCAAGCACTTTAAGATTTCTCCAAATACAGTAATGCTGCGGAAGAGACAGGCCAAAAAAGAGTTTCTGCTGATTTTGGAAATCTAAGAATCCCTCCCACGAGCCATAAATTTCAATAGCACCTCCTTTTTTGAATAAATAAAAAAAGAGCTACACATTTCCCCACCCCATGCAAATATTCATAGTGGCTCTGGCAGAGTGCTTCCTGAATGCAAGTTAAGCTGCTTTCTTTTGTGGCAAAGAAGTACACTTTCAGAAAGATTTAAGCTCTTTCATTCTTTAATATGAGTAAAGTTGGCTTGTACAATGTAAGAGGGAGTATAAAACAAAACCTATTGGATCCAATCAAAACTCTATCTTGACCAAAATCTTCTTCACACAGTGGGCCCGCTTTCTCCTTTTATTTTAATCCAAATTAAACTAATTTAAAAGAACTAGAAATTCTCTGTCCCAGCCTCCTCAACTAATATGTAATATGCAGGTTTAAATTTTACATAGATCAACATAAATTCCCAAAAGAAAATACTTCTTGGTTGTAATTATTTTTCCCTTACCTGATTAAATTGGGATTTTGATAATTCTTTTAAGGACTCCAAATCTTTAAACTGTAGATATTTCTAGAGACAAAGATACATAAACACTAATAAATGGATTAAGTTTGTTATATTTTAACTGATATTGTAATACATTTGTCCATTATTTTTACATTAAATATTTTGTTTTAGAATCAAGCTTAAATTAAAAAATGCTTTCAGATTAACATTTTCCGGAGTATAAGACACACCAGAGTATAAGACGCACCAAGGTTTTGAAGAGGCAAATTAAAAATAAAGTAGGTAGGTATCTAGAGGGATAGAGAGGGAGAGAAAGAGAGAGAAATACAGTAGGTAGGTAGGTAGAGAGAGTAGTTAGGTAGGTAGGTAGGTAGGAAGGTACGTAGATAAAAGGATATATGTATGTATGTATGTATGTATGTATGTATG